GTTGGAGACTGAATACCTCGTTCTTCTTCGTTGTAGACGTCGCGTCACGTCGAAGGTTAGGTCGTCACGCCGTCCTCGTACCTACCTCCGACTGCGAGCACTGACGCAATACTCTCTCTCTCTCTCCCTACGAACTTCCCTCCTCTCTCTCTCTAAATCTCTCTCTCTCTCTCTCTCTCGCTCTCTCTAAAGCAAAGATGAACGAACGAGGGGGGTTTTGGCTCTTTGAAGTTTGTTGGCTTAAATAGCGGCAAGAAGGTCGATGAATTTTTCAGATCCTTTTAGGGTTGTAATTGCTTCCTTCGCCTCGTTATCGTTTCCTCTTGTTCTTATAAAAAATTGGGATCAATTACGGTCCTGCTAGGGTGGTCCCGCTAGACCGCGATGGCACATGGTCCCGCGCCCAAAATACATTGGGCCATTTTTTTAGAAAAAAATCCTTTCGAAAACATCGCGTATACCCTTTTTCTCAATTTTCGTATGTTTTTGGATGAAATTACCCTTTATGGGTAGTCTATCTACTGTAAAGAACATTACGGTAATTTAAATACCATAATGTATAGAAAGGTCTTTACGGTAGTTTATATACCGTAATATTGGATATTTAATTTACAACAATTTAACTACCCTATTGTATTAACTGGAAATTACGGTACCCAAAGTACCGTAATGTCTTTCGAAAATTGTATGGTAATCATATTGCCGTAAATATTTCCCATCTTTTTTTTTATCAATCTTTTCATAAAACCCTATTTTGACGATTTGTTTAGCACTTTCATCTATTTTTTTCTCTCTCATCCATTTTCTATCTCTCTCATCTATTTTCTATTATATCATCTATTATTTATCAATCTTTGAACAAGGTCTATGAGAGCATCAAATATACACACCAACATTGATTTATAGGTATGTCATCAAAATATTATGTTGTTTTTAGCATCTAAAGAAAAATTATGTTGTTTTTATGTAGTACTTGATGTAATTTGATTAAAATATTGCATAAATAAGTTTTAGATGTATTTATATTGTTCCATAAATAAGTTTTAGATTTATTTAATGGTTGACCATCAAAATAATGTTTTTTTATAATAATTGATGTAGTTGGGTTGACCATTGTAATTTTTTTTATATTATGGCATATGTATTGCAATCTAATCCCTCATGCAACCTCCTCATCATTTGTAGGTATTTTGAACTTCTTATAAGTATTTTATATATGTTCTCATCTGAAATTTCTATGCAGTGATTCAACGTGTACGCAATAATAATATGTGAGAACATAGTGAAGATCATTTTACACTTTTGTGGTTTTTTCAAGAGGAAACATAATGATGGAATTATTTTCTTTGACGATGGGGACGTAAAGGTTATATTTTTTAAGGGAATCCCAACATTTGAACAAGTTAAAGATCATTTGTCAAAAGTATCAAATTATATCCCAAGTACCATGACTATTAGGTATATTGACCCAGGGTTATCAAGTAACAGTAATATGATACGTATTGATGATGATGACGACATTGCCAATATGATGGAAATGTCTTCCCCCATCGCTACGTACGTATCAAACCGACCTATTGAGTCTGACTGCACTGAATATCGACCACCAACAATGCTTGATAATGGTACATCTGACTACACTGAATATCGACCACCAACAATGCCCGATAATGGTCCATCAAAGTTGGTCATGTAAGAAGGCTGCAATGAAAATCATTAATTTTCTTATTTATCAATTTTTTGTTATGGCTTAGGATAATTCTGATTTGTTTTGATTTTTGTTTTTCTACAGCACATCCCGACCAGAGTAAGTAGGTCACAGTGAATGTGATGCTGGCATAGGCGTAGAAGATGAGCATGATTTAGAAATCGAGCGGCATATCGGCGACATCGATCCAATAGAAAGCCCCCTGAGGATTAATAATTATGAAGTTGTACTTCGAGAGGGTTAGGATTTTGATGATGTACAGGCCTGCCGTAATCACCTTATTGATTATGCCATATCACAAAACTTCAATATGAAGTTTATAAAAAGCGATGTGAGACGTTTACGGGCAAGGTGTGCTGCAGATGGGTGTTCATGGCAAGTGTGTTGTTGGAGGAAAATACAACAAACTTCTTCAGGATGAAAAAGTTTGTAAACATGCACTCATGTGCCGGCAGTATAGGTATCGTTCATTAGCCGCTTTCTCAAAGCCACTGGGTGGCAAGTAAGATCAAAGATCGGGTGAATGATATGCCCGATCTTACACTTGGAGATGTGGTTAATGATATACAACGTGATCACGGTGTCATGTTATCTTACCAACAAGCATGGCGGCCCAAAGAGGTTGTACAACAGATAAATGAGGGTTCCCATGTGAAGTCATATGAGGATCTCGCTAAATATCTTCATAAGATCTGAAACATGGACTAAAAAAAAAAAATCTACACAAATACTTCTTACCTCAAATATCTGATGATGGAGATAGACCCGTGAGATATTGAGCTTTGGTTCAAGGTTTCACAGCACAAAAAAAACCATAATAGGCCTTCGGTTTAGGGTTTTATCTCACAGTGAACACCGTAATGAAAGAATGGGAAAGAATGGATCTTTTTGTGCAGGTTATAAGGTGGGAAAAGATTACGAATAACCCTTCAAGTCATTATGGTAATCTTAATACCGTAATAAAAAAAATGCCTATTACGGTACTCGAAGTACCGTAATATAACTTCATTTTGTTACGGTATTTGAAATACCGTAATACTATATCAAATTATAATGGTATTTCAAGTACTATAAATGTCATAATTTATTATGGTAAATGGACTACCATAAAGGGCAATTTCATCCAAAAAAGCTCGAAAATTGGAAAAAGGGTGTAGGTGAGGTTTTCGAAAGTTGGGTTTTTTTCTTTTTTCTTTTTTTTTTAAAAAAATATAGGTATATTAGCGATAATTTCCCTAAACATTAAAACAATATTTTACGTTTTGGTGATCCAAGTCACCAATCCAAAAATTGGTGTAGACATTTGGGTTGATAATTCAAATGGGCGATATGGCTGAGAGAACTGGGAAAAAAAAATTAAAAAGCTTGAGAAAAATAAGAAGTTAGTAAAAAATAATTAAAAAGGGTAGGGCTGAATCAACCAATTCCTCGAAAAATCATTTGAATTAGCCAACTCCCAATTATGATGGGAACCAAACCAGTCCCATTAATTCTCAATTTAAGATCATGGTTTAAAACTTTCGCTTAAAACCATAAATTCAATTGTATTCAAATCAGTTGGTCTAAAGTTAATATTTAAGCGTAATAATGAAATATTTTCCATACTATGAGTCAATTTAAAAGATAAAATATCATTAAATGGTGAAACTAGCTCAAAAAATTAGTGGCTACATCAATAATTTTACTAATAAAGTGGTCACCTTTTAAATCTTCAAGTACCCTCTCAAGACTTCTATCAAATTATCAATTTGTCTATTTCCTATAGTGATAATCATTAATATGGGTGAGCATTTTGATAATTTAATGTGAACCAATTAAGTTAATTAACCCCTTTTTTTTCCAAGTTCCAACTTACGAGATTGAAAATGCAGAACAAGCAAAAGCATGTTGGTAATGTACAACACCCTGAGTTACCCGAGTTAAAGTATTTAAGTACCTTTGCTTGTCATGAGATCCAAACCCATAACAAGTTTTCATTAATTAAAAACATATTCAGGCAAAAAACCAAAACAAATAGGTAGGTCATTTGGTTTGCATAATTTAAAATTCAAATTGTTAATGTTAATTCCATTTGGAGTTTGAAACCTATGGGTAATTTAGACAATTTCTAACAAAATAAACCAGTCATGGGAAACTTGCACCCAAAAACTAAAAATCTAAAAATGCTCATACCGCCATACAAAACAGCAAAGTATCATGCAAAACAACCTCATACCTTGTCTACCCAAAAAGAACAGCCTCATACCTTTGTTTGTGGGGAATCTCGTAGAGAAATTTTGAATGAACCAAATGTGCCCTTAACTCGTACTTGTATAAAAACTTCAACCAGATTCTCCCTCTTTTTTCTTAGATTCTCTCTTCTCTTTTTTTTTCTTTTTTTTTTCTTCTTTTTTTTTTTAAAATAAAATTAGGGACTTAAGATTATCCTAGAGGGATCTTATCACTTACTCTAATAGTTAATAATGGATGGGGATTTGGTGTGTCAACTTAACTCATTCTGTTCATTTGCAGCCTTCCTTAAAAATCAATTATTTTATATCTAAAACTTAATAGGTAAATAATCTTGAACAATACGATCATGAATATGAAAAAAGACAAATAAATTTTAAGTATTAAAGCAGATTATCTTTGAGATCTTGTTTTTAAATATTTTTAACCATTCATTTTAATTATTTTAAAGTAATATACTTTAATTTTAATTTTAATTTTTCCCAAATTTATGATCTTGGTGGTTAAGATTATTGAATTATAAAATCTTAGATCATAAAAATGGCTTTTAGAATGAGACTATACTTAAACATCAAGTCACCGAAACTTTTCATGCAGTTGTATGTTTAAGACTTAACTCAAAAAAATATGCTTCTTCCTAAACATATCAATTTTTGGAGACTAAGTAGGTCAGTTAGAACCGACCCGTCA